GAAAAGCAAAGAGGCTCCAAATTTAGAAGAATGGCAACTTAAATTATACGATATTATGGCAATGGATAAACTGACATCTCTCATGAAAGGACAAACTAGAAACAAATTTGAAAAAGAATGGTCCTCGATTATGAAATATTTTATAGAAAAATGGGGAAAGAACAGTGTGATAGCTTTGAAAGAATGAACAAAAGACAAAATATATACGGTACAGATATGGAAAGGAGTTAAATAGTAAGTAAAAAAATGGGAAATATAGACATATAATTCGACCTTGGTAAAAGTAGCAGATGTTCAGATTTTGCGTATACTGTGGAACGGGTAAAGAAGATTGATGTAAAGTATGTATTTCATAATATAATATAGATCTGAGAATACTTTATGTATTAGAAAATAAGAGTTAAGGAAAATATATGAAAATCAAAATATCGAAATAACTTATTCATAGTAAAAGCTGGGAAGTCATTTTTTATGTTTGTTTATGTTTATATGTTAATTAATGTATTTGTATTTATATAAATGTATGTGTAGAGTGTTATGTGTTTATAAGATAATAAAATTTAAATTATAAAAAAAGAAATCACCTGCTGGTTCATTTTTAGACATTTTTATGTTACAGAATTTCATTATTCAGTGAACCTGTCCTGGCAGATCTCAGATGGAGGTGAGGAAGAGATCATTTATTTACTTTGGACAACATCCTGGCACATGGATCTTGGGAAAAGGCTCAAAGAAATGAGCTCAGTGGCACTTCCAATTAGATTCTTGAAGCAGCCACTAACTAGAAATCCTAAGATACTAATGAGTTGGCATACAGTTCCTGTTCCCTGACTGTACATGGTTTGACTTCTTCCAGACAGTCAGAGTATCTACACATTGAGCTCAATATCTGGTTGCAACTTTCGCAAGTTTGAAACAGGAGCATGTCATCCTAAATCATTTGTACTTTTGTTGGCTCTAGACAGCTAGTTTGTTTCTAGAAATGGTCTGGAAGCTGACTTTTCTTACAAACTCAGACTTTCCTTATGGCCTGATTTATTATAAGAAACAAATTAGAAATTGATGTCTTGGCATGGTGAGCTTCTGTTTTATTTATAAATGCTGCTACTGTGAAGGCCAAGGAAGTTGATGGGTGGGGGGAACCAATCTGTACTTAAATAGGAGTTTAAGGAATAGGAAACCGTTATGTCTTCGACAATTGCTGCACATCCACATAGATCAAGTTAAGAATGTAAACCTAGCAGCTGGTTTTTCAGGTGCAATTCACTTCTAGGAGAGGAAGTAAATAATACTCCTTAGTAGGAAAAGCACTTCACTAGTAAGATAGTAAAAGTAACTCTAATGAGTTTGCTCCTCATATTTCTTGCTTTCTACTATCATGAATCTAGCCATAAATATTTAAGAGCTAAATTGCTTGTGAACTTAGAGCATCGACATTCAACAGCCATACATCAATGTGATTTCTGTGTAAAAGCACCCTGTCTTGGAAGAAAAGTGGCTCTGTTTAATTCTTTGAGCTAAAAAGCAAGAAACGCATATACATGTTTGTGCATAAGAAGAGGTCATTTCACCCAGTGTGGAAATGTGTCATTTTCTTTTCAGAGAAAGACAATAACAAGCACTGAATGCCACAAAGAACAATCTCAAGGCTATGAGTTTTGTTTTGTTTTTTGCTTCTTCTCAGACTGCTAGGCATTCATCTCTCAACCTTGAAATAGAACAGACAGGTGCAAGTTGCTGAAGAAACAGTTAGAAAATCATCAACATAATAATATCACAACCATCTAAATTCCTTTGATGAGAAGCAGCAGAAAAGGGACCTGAAGAATTTTTAAAAATCATATCATAAAATGCAGACTTACTGTAAAAATAGTTGTAGCTTTTAGAGACATCTTTTGGGTGGGGGGGTGGGGAAGACTCAAAATAGTCTAAGCAAGGAAATATTGAAAGATTAATGACATTAAACAAGACCCACCTGGGAAGTGGGGTAAAGCTATATCAAATGTATGGCTAGAGAACTGCAGTGGGGAAAAAATGATTGGCAGAATTTTACATGACTGATGAAAGTTGAAAGTACCTTGTAGAAGTACATGTTTTGTTGTGCAAATGCACCCAAGCACATTGAAGTAAAAGAATTAGTTTATTCAGTTTTATGGATAACAGCTTTTCTACATTATTTTCAGTAGGATTATATACCACTTTTTATCTAATCTCTAATCTAATTCAATCCAATCCAATCTAATGTAACTGATGGAATAGATAAGGATATTGTAGACCTAGTATAGTAAACCTGTTGCATTTCAAATGAGCAAGTGGAATAATTGCTTTTGTCATTTTCACCCAGCTAGTTGGGAAGTTCAGTATGTGTGTGTGTGTGTGTGTGCACATGCTATATGTGCACTACTGTAAGAGAACTGCTTACATGGGCCACCAGTGTGAATAATGTCATAGCTTCATTGAGTAGCTGATACTCAAAATAAAACTATTTTAATAGATATATAAGAACATGAGAATATATGTTTTACTAATATGTTGGCACACCCTCTTAACGTTCATCTTGTTTTAGAAACAAAAACCATCTAGTTTCATACAGGCTGGAATCCTGTTGGGGACTCTGTAAGTGAACTTATGTCTGTGGGAACTAGAATTGAACAGTTCAGTAATATTTGTATCCAGTAAAGGACTTCTGTTACATTATTACACAGGGAAGCCAGTGAAGTGACAAATGCCCATTAGGACCAATATACATCCATCTCATTGTGCATCAGGACACCAGCTAGGATTGCCGATGTGCATTGGTGCAGCCCAATGTGCATTTGGACACTCTAGCCAGTGTTCCATTATGCATCTTTGCAATTCACCAACAGGGGTTCTTAGCACCTCTGCTATGTAGCTAAGCATATTTAAAGTTATGTTATATACACTATGATAGAACATTCTGGCCATAATACCTTCAACTAGAGTAGATCCATTTGTTCTGTGGAATTTACATAGGTGTTGATTTAGTGTGCATATTTTATTTGGGAGAAGCTCTCTCAACTTCAGAGGATGGCAATGGCACACCCTCTCTGAAGAAACTTGCCAAGAAGACTCCATGATAGGTTCACCTTAGGATTGCCTTAAATCAGAAATGACTTGAAGGCATACAACAACAACAACAACAACAATTGGATTTAGGTTATAGGTTTTTGGGGTTTTTTTGGCCTTTTCAGGATTTAGGTTTCTCTCATTCATGTGGGCCAGTCCTACTATGTATATATTTTGTAAAGGTAATTTTCAGGGTTAACTTTGCACACTGTAGTAGGGATGATAATCAAAGCATTCTCACTATGAAATGAAACATTATCCCTGATGTGGTTGAATGTGGTGGCAACAATATTTGAAACTAACGCATCATGAGAATGAGCTCTACCATTTGGAAAACCATCATGACGTCTGAATAGCTTTCAGACTATAATAATAATAATAATACTAATACTAATACTAATAATAATAATAATAATAATTGTTATTGTTATTATCCTGCCCCTCTGCTTTGCAATCGGGGCAGTGTCTCATGCCTAACAAATCCCTTGAAGACATATTCTGAATGGTTTCCATTTGGCATCTATAACATCTGAATTGGCCCTCAGATAATTTTAAAAGTCTCCAGAAGAATGACTAATACCCAGGATTAATGTTCTTAGGCTTGTGTTTATGTTGTTGTTTGAGGTTTATAGCCTACTTCTGTTTTGCATTGCTTCAGGGTTTCATTAAAATCCATATACTTCTCTAGTTCATGCAAAGACTTGTTGCTATTGTTGCTCTTGTTTAAAATGCTTGTGTAATACAGAAGTAATTTTTGTGGCTTCGACAGTATTTTTACTGTACATTAGTGGGTGGAAAAATGCTCCATAAATCAGTGAAGAAAAAATACTATTGTCTTGTCAGGATTCCTTTCACATATTGAGACCGAGAGATTTCTGCTTGGGTTTAAAAGCCAACACAAACCTCTTGTTGTGTCTGAGTTAAAGACTTCACAGCTGTTAAGATGCAATGCATAAGGGCAGCTAAAGTTAACAGTCACTTGGCAACCAATTCATTGTTCCATCATCTGGTGGCTAGAGGAAAGAACTGAACTGACTGTGCTGTTGACTGCTGAACATCAATGTGACTATCACTTTAGGTTTTTCAGATGGATATATCTTGCCATCAAATCAGGCAAAATGTTCTAACTTCTTTTTATAGTCCTCAGCTTTGGAACAGAACATGATCCCTGCACCTATGAATACTCTGATAAAGACAGAGTGCAGGTCTCAGAGTGCAAAATGCCTGTTGTTGTTGTTGTTGTTGTGTACCTTCAAGAAGTTTCCAATTTATGGTGACCCTAAGGTGACCCTACCATGAGGTTTTATTGGCAAATTTCTTCAGAGGGGGTTTGCCACTGTCATTCTCTGAAGCTGAGAGAGTGTGACTCCCCCAAGATCACCAGTGGGTTTACATGGCAGAACCAGGATTCGAACCCTGGTCTCCAGCATTCTAGTCCAATGTTCCAACCACTGCACCATGCTGGTTCTCAAATTGCAAAATCTCTCAAGAGCTGCAAAATCTCTGCTGCTCTTTAACAGACTGCAATAACAAATAAGTGGCTGCATTCACGCTAATCAATGGTTCCATCTAGTATGGGCAAAAATTTTTAATCAAATAAATTGATGTTCTGCACTATTCAGCTTACATCACAATACATTTAAAAAAAAAAAATCTTTCCCTTCACCTTGGCCAGTGCAACACATTATAATTGCATATGTGTTTACACTGTGGACATGGAAGGTATGAAAACAGAATTTGAATGCATGTGCACACTTAGGGCCCTTTTACATTACAGAGATATAGCACTAAGATTTTATTTTAATTGCAATGGTTACATCCTATAAAATTTGCACCTTAGGGAGATGTGTTAGTGCCTCATCAAACTAGAAACCCAAAGAGTCCGCACAACGCAGCCATGACAGTTAGGGTGGAATCATAGCACTATAACTGTATATTGAGAAAGGCCTACTAGATTCAGTCATGTACAATCAGCTTTTCATAGCCATGGATTCTTTACCCACATATTTATGTATCCATGGCTTGGAAATATTCAGAAAAGATATAAATTCCAGAAAGCAAACCTTAATTTTGATATTTTATATAGGAGGCACCATTTCACTATGCCATGGTATATAATGAGACTTGAGCATCCACGGATTTTGTTATCCATGGGGGTTCCTGGAACCAAACCCAAGTGGATATCAATGGCTCACTTTACATGCATTTAGGAAACCTGGGCTGCTCATGTTTCCTTAGTGTGTGTAGTTACTTTATACATGTAGATGATGTCTTCCCTCCATCATATCTTTTCTGTGGAAAAGAGGTTTATAGAACTGGACTTTCCACAGCCTTGCATTATGTGCAATGCTGTTCCTACCCTGATGCTATGGCAGGATATGGATTAGGCCACTGTTTTGTTCTTTACACTAATTGTATAACATTGAGAGCCAACAAGAAGAATGCATTACAGGTCTTAACTGTGAGAACAATGAAGTTAGCATTGATGGGGATAGTTGGCTGTTCCCTTGTTTCCCTGGAGTAGCGTGCTTAGCCTTTATGCTGGCTTTTCTCCCATGACTTACAAAGGACCTTCTGAATTCTCATCACAAAATATAAAGGCTCAGCTTGATGGAGCATCTGGTTTGGGGCAGAGTCAATCAATCCCAATCAAAACAGAACACCTCTTTGGCTTCCATTAGCCAAAACGTAGCAAAACAAAGCCTTTTTCAGAGGAACAAAGCTCTGTGATTTAATTTTAAGAAAGAGGCTTCTGTCAAAGATTTAGTACCTGAAAACATTCCTCTGAAGAAGCAGAGCCATTTAAATCATCTGTGCTGGGCAGTTCTTATTGCTTGGGCACAGTCATGCTAAGGAGCACTACATGATCTTGGATGTAAAATGTTAAAAATCCGTTGAACACTTCATCTTCCAAAGCATTTTTAAATGTCTGATCACTGTGCATTAGTGATCTATAATTTACATACTAAACATGAATTTACATATTAAACATGGACTCTTAGGATTAGCATGTGGGCAAGGAATGCAGCTACATTACAAATATACCTAATCAGTAATAGTAGCTCTACCTGCTCACAAAAGGAACTCCTTCAGTGAATACTCCAGTCTGTCCTGTCTCAGCATTATTTCTGTTGTTGTGTGGGTAGTGTAAAGTGATCACACTAAAGAGTAGTACAGAAACAAAGACAAGCACCCTACACACTGAGGATAACCTGCATCTAACTGTCAAATCTGGATGAAACAGTAATCTCCCTCCCTCCCCTCCAGCTTCCTGTATGAACAGCTCTATCACCTATCACTCTGGCTGTTCTGTTTGATCTGTATTTAAATTGGCACAAGCACAATGTTTTGGGCTGATGCCATCCCTAAAAATTGCATCCTGCCCTTCTATGAGAACTCCAGAGTGAACACTTTCAGTCCAGAAGTCACAGCTGTTTAATGTGGAAATTAAATTAAAACTTTTTATAGTGTGCTGATGTGCCAATGAAGCTGTAAAAATAAAGGATTTCTTTTTAAAAGCCCTTGATAAGGCCTTTAAAAATCTGTGTGTTTTAAACACAAACACAAGGTTGCATGTTGTTTGCTTTTGAGCAGAATGAAGCAAATAGAGATCTACCAGCCTTTATGGGAAATTGCCTCCAAGTCTCCTGATAAATCAACTGAAGCATTGGGCAAGGAATATTTTTTTGTGGCTGATGCAATTATATTAACCCATACAGAGGGCACTGAAAATCTTTTTTAGCATGGCAGCACATCATATGATGGGGGAAAGTAAGGTTTTTATTGCATTTACTACAAAACCAGCACAGTCACATAGGATATCTCCATGGCAATACCTACCAATGCTGGGAGGCATTCAGTCATTCTTCATGGACCAGTACAAGATGCCTTCTTTATAGATTCAGTAACATATGAGTCAACCTTCTGATGTTTTGTTGACCTTTTTTTGCTAAGAGCGTTATTGTTCCTGTGACATCATCCACTTTTCTGCCATTTACTGACACATTCTTGAGTTTCAGCTGTATTATTGTCATGATTTGCCATTAAGGTTGCTATTGCTTGTAAATGCAAATAGCTATACTATTCTATTTAGAGAAGAACCCTGAAGATGAAATTACTTTCAGGCAGTAGGCAAGTGGAAAGGCAGAGGATATTTAATATGGTCTGATGCATATGCTTGTTGTATTATTTCTATGCTATAAGGCACACTAGAAAGACTATGATCTTAAAAGGGAGGTAAGAAATTGATAGCTTAAACCAAGGAACATTTCAAAGGATGGGCAGATTGAGAGCAAAAGGAGGTAATCTTTCAAAGTTAAAAATATTCAAATATATTTCTTTCACTCTTGTACATTTTCTCAGTGTCATTAGATATGTATTAGAGCAATAAAATGCTAGTTAGAACCGGACACTTCTTGTGTGATGTCAGGGACTGGCAAATGTGCTTCTAAAATCTGAAACTTGCTACATCTAATGTATGTGACTTACTGGTTACAGAGTTTGCTTGTCAAAATACACACTTAAGGAAGACAAAGACAATTTGTATGCATGGATGAATAATGTACAGCCCGCCTCATAACTTTATCCATAGATTATCTGTTGCTGTGTTAGACATACTTAGAGCCTTTCATCATCAGATGGTGGTGATGATATTTATGATGAGGATAAGGATGATAAAATGTTGATTTTCCATGAAGTTTTGATTCTAGCTGTTCTAGTACCAGTTTCTCTGATGTTTTTGTGTCTGTGTTTTTATAATAATAATAATAATAATAATAATAATAATAATAATAATAATAATAATAATAGATTTATTTGTAACCCGCCCCTCTGCAAAGCAACCGGGGCAGCGTACAGCAGATAAAACAATACAAGCAGTTAAAACATTCAACCCAATTCCCTAACCCACCCACCCCTTAAAAACAAATTAAACTATTACTGTATTAAAATAACAAGATAAAACCATAACATACAAAAAAGACCATTGCAACAAGTAGTAGCAGCAAAAAGGGTGAGGGGAAGGGTAAACAAACATGGGATTGTGTTTATATTAGTATTTGCATTTATATTAGAATTGAAATTGAGTTTGAGCTGGGAGGTTATTCCGGAAAGGCCTGCCAGAAGAGATCCATCTTCACTGCTCTTTTAAAGCAGTTCAGAGTAGTAATAAGATGGATCTCATCCAGCAGGCCATTCCATAATCTGGGAGCGGTGACAGAGAAAGCCCTCTGGGAGGTCTGCGACAACCTGGTCTTCATCGGCTGTAGCAGATTCTTCCCAGAGGAGCAGAGTGTGTGAGGGGGGGGATCGTACAGGATGAGGCGTTCCCAGATATAAGTTGGACCCAAGCCATGTAGGGCTTTAAAGGTTAAAACCAACACCTTGTACTGTGCCCGGAAACTAATCGGCAGCCAGTGGAGAGATTTGAGCACAAGTGTAATATGCTCTCTCCTAGATGTTCCAGTAACTAGTCTGGCTGCCATATTTTGAACCAGTTTAAGTTTCTGGGTTAAGCACAAGGGTACCTCATGTAGAGAGTGTTGCAGAAACCCAGACGTAAGGTTACCAGAGCATATACCACAGTTTCGAGATCCCTACTCTCCAGGAAAGGGCGCAGCTGGCATATCAGTTCCATCTTGACCAGGAAGTGATCCATCCATGACAATGCGGAGGTACTAGTAACCTCCGCCCACGGATATTCCTGCCCCGTACTAAAAACTGCATCGAGGGCATGACCTGCACAATGTGTGGGCCCCACAACCAATTGGGATAGGCTCATATTTGTCATGGTTTCCATGAACTCCCGAGCCATGCCAGTTAGATTCGGTAGACTTGTCTCGAGTAGGACGATGAAGTCGCCCAAGACCAAAAGTCCAATTTTGGTTCAGGTATTGATACAGGTATCAGTGGTTGGTGCCATTGGTCCAAGACCAATACCATTTTTTAAAAAATTAGTGTGTCAAGTAGAACAAAATTGAAATTCTAGCTGAATCCTTCTGCTACATTCTTCACGTCTGGCAAACTAAATCTTTGTTAAAGAAAATATTAGTCCACTTTTCTTTTTCACGTTTAACTAAAACCTGCCAATCTACAAGTTCTCACTTTTCATTAGAATTGCTATTTAGCAAAATTGCTACTTGCTACTTAGCAAAATTATGATTATTTTCATAACAGAATGTGGTGGTGGAACTCCCCATGATCAGAGAGCATAAGCTATATAGGAAATATTTGTCTTTGATACATGACAGAGTACAATGCCTGCCACCTGCATCTTGAGTAAAACTCTGGAAATATTCTGTTGATGTAACCCATCTGGTGGTATCATTCTATATAATAAACAACCAATTCCCATCCTGGCTCTCACCCATAGATCTGAAGGATCCAGCTTTCTTTCCCTCTGACCCTCTTGCCTCTCCTCCTCTGCTTCACTTTCTTCCTCCCCTTCACTACTCCTGGTCCTCCTTTT